ATTCTACCAAGGCATCTTTACTATCAGAAAAAAAAATTCTGGGATTCAGAGATAGCTATTCAGAGATAGCTGCAGAATATCCACACATTCAAATACTAAAGCCTTTATCATACTCCATTTTTAATGAAGTTTTATACTTAATCCCTTATAATTCTCAGCAGTGGCCCTGCTGGCTAGAGAATTCTGTGGGTAAAGTCCACATATTTAGATGGCATCCAGGTTGGGAGGTCCTATCTGTTAAATACTACAGACGTTCAAAGTCTAGATCAGGAAACAAAACAAAAATATAGGCAAAATACACGGTTATGATGAAACTAACATTCAACCACCACATCAAGTAATTGAGGATCAAAGCTGCAAAACCCTATCCCTAACCATAAAAAGCTGAAAAATAAGATACAGAATAAGGTGCCAATTTGAAGTCCAAGACAGCAGTCAAGAAAAAGGAAAGGAGTGGTCATTTGTCAAAGTAATTTCGAATGTTGGTTATGTAAAGAACACTGTCACTGTATTGGCATCATCTTTTTTTCAAAATGTATCTTTGACAAAATGACATCCATATTATTTCCAAGGCATAACAACAAAATGTTTTGACCCAGCTCTGACATGAACTCAAAAGATTCCTTTATTAGGAATACTGGCAGCCCTGGCAAAACGTTTATCTCGCAGGCTACCAAAACTGGCTGGCCCGGAAGATTACTATTGTCGGCTACACCTATTCATCTCCGCCCCCTGCCTTTTACCCCAGAGTTAGGGTGGGACCTCACTCGCAGCGGTAGCTCTTCCTTCCCGAGGATCGGCCCATGGCTTTCCACTGCTCTCCTCTCCTCTGCCTTCTGCGCATCCGCGCGTCAGGCACTGGACCCAGCTGTTCCTCTTCTTCTTCATCAACCACCTCCAGACCTGGGGGCTGCTGACTTTCCATCTGAGGGCCAGGATTGATGGCCCAGGCTCCGCCTCTGTCTCTCTCTCTCTGCCAGCTCCATTCTCTCTTCCGCCTCGGAGCTCACAGGTTGCCCTGATGCTGACCCTGACTCCCACGCCTCCTCCTCCTCTGATTCGGCTGCTGGAGGGGCCGGCGGCCGACAGGCCACAACACAAAATATCTAAATGTGTCATTAATTTAATTTGTAGAAGACATTATGATGAACACCCAACCCCTAATTGCCAGCACACAAAGAATATAAAGGTTTAATTGTAATTTGCTATTGGAGACTTTTAAACCATAATGACTCAAATGCTTATTTTTGCAAAGGTAAGCATCTTAATTTCAGATAAGCTTGTGATGAAGATATCACAATTCAGAAAAATAAATATAAAATATGGAGTTAAGAAGTAAAATCTCCACCATCTTAAAATAATTGATAAAAATTTATCTATTTTATTTTATTTATTTATTTTGTCAATCATGTATTAGATAACATATATATAAACATAATTATGAACACATGAGATGGATACATATAAAAGAAAACATTAGGACAGGGACGGCAGGCATGTTGGTGCGCTTATATACGCCCCTTAAAAATCTCTTAGGAATGGGGTGAGGTCGACAGTAGACAGTCTAAGGTTAAAGTTTTGGGGGCTTGGGAATGAAACCACAGAGTCAGGTAGTGCATTCCACTCTGTTGCTGAAATCATATTTTCTGCAATCGAGTTTGGAGCGGTTTACCTTGAGTTTGTATCTATTACTTGCTTGTGTATTGTTGTGAAGCTGAAGCAATCATTGACAGGTAGGACATTGTAGCAGATAATTTTATGTACTACGCTTAGGTCAGACTGAAGGCGGCGTAGTTCTAAATTGTCTAAGCCCAAAATTTCAAGTCAAAAATTTCAAGTTGATTACCAGTATATACATTAAGAACTAAAATAATGTTATTTGAAACACATACTAACACTTGTCACCCCTCTAATATATGCAGTATTCAGATATATGCAATATTCATTTCAAACCTCTAGGTACAGTAGAATGTATATATAGAGTAAAAAACCAAAACTGCAGGAAGAAAAATTCTATGATCAAATCTGTATCTTTACTTACGTATTTTAGTTATCTAACCACTAGGTGGTGTATTTACAATTTATTTAGGTCATAAATAGGCTGATTAAACATAATGTGGGTGTGCGTGAATGTGCATGGTTGATTTTTAAAAAAGAAGCTCAAATATAACACAAATTCAAAATCACTGATTCGGTCTTAAATGTTGCTTTCAGCCATAAGCTTATGTCAGTGTTTCTCAATCTTGGGAACTTTAAGGCATGTTGATTTCAACTCCCAGAATTCCCCAGTCAGCCATAGTTGGCTGAGGAATTCTGGGAGTTGAAGTCCACATTCCTTAAAGTTCCCAAGGTTGAGAAACACTGACCTATGTGTTGTCTTTGTAAACGTGATTAACTCACAATTCCCAGGGAGCATAATACCGTTTCCCCCAAAATAAGACATCCCTTAATTATAAGCCCAATCGGGCTTTTGAGCTCATGGCAATAAGGCCAAGCGTTTATTTCAGGATTCAAAAAAATGACAGAGTCTTATTTTTGGGGAAACACGGTACATCTCAGAGATGTAATATAACATATGTAGAGGACGCCCAAAACTTTAAAATTACAGCACCTTGCAAGGCAGACTTGATGCTTAAAAGTAAAAAAATAAACTGATGCTTAAAAGTAAAGAATAAACTGATGCTTAAAAGTAAAGAATAAAAAGGAGAATTTAAAAGCTCATAAAGATCATTCAGGTTCACTATCAAAGTTTGTAGGAACAAGATGTAAGCCAGGCTGTGAAACTCAATTTCATTGAGGGCTGCATTAGGGTTGTGTTTGATCTTGGGGGACTGGGATGGGCATGGCCAGCTCAACGTCACTCATGTTGGGGGGCGCCTATGGTGGCCCGAGTGCTCCGACAGCAAAAATGGGCTCCTGAGCTCAGTTTTCGGCTGCCACAGCCTCCTGCAACCCTCTGCCAGTGAAAATGGAGTTCCGTTTTTGCTGGTAGAAGCATCACAGGCTGGTCCTTCACTGTTTCCAGGACAGCCCCATGGGCCAGATCTAAGTATCCCGCGGGCCGGATCTGGTCCCCAGGCCTTGAGTTTGACACCCCTGATATAAAGCATTTCAGTTATCAGCCCTTGGATCAGACTTCTGCTGACAACTTGCCTTATGAATCTCTTTTAGTACCAACTTAGAAGCAACTGGAGTAGACTAGGAGGCAGGCTAAATTATAGAACAGACAGAATAAGCCAAAAATAAATTAGTTTCCTTGTTTCCAAATGGTATGTTACAACTCCTTGTTTAACTGCAAGAGACAATAGACACCGCTTTCTTAGTGAAATTGTATAAAATTTTATTAAAAGAGATTATCTGAACTTGGTTCTGTTTCAAAAATGATGACTTTGAAATTTATGACTCAAAATTAATGGATTACAGGGTCGTAAAAAGAGAGTTTTACTATGATGATGATGATGATGATGATGATGATGATGATGATGATTCTTGAAACAGTGTCCTTAGTACTCACTGACTGCCCACTAGAAAGATCCTGTCAGCCTGATCAGGTGGATCAGACAAGAAACACCACCAGATGAGTTAATTCTACTTCATTGTAAGGCCACATTAACAAATTCTTGCACGTCTGAAATTCCAATTCCGCCCCCCCTCCTTTTCACCCTGAGAAATTAGGGAGGGTGTTATCTGAGCCTCTTACCCCTCCCACTATCTAGCTGTGGACTAAGCTGTTTCCCCAGGCAGCATCTGTTGGAAGGAAGCACATTCTCAGTTCATTCCTAATATTATTACAGATTCTCCCATCTGCCTACTTACTGATGAAGTCTACCTAATCTACACCTGGAAACTTTCTGATGTGTTTGGACTGTATTTCTCAGAATTATTTTTAAAAAACCGAACCAGTTTAATTTAAAGGTTAAAGATGCTGTACTAAAAGTAAGGAGATTGTGAGGTCTCGTCCTGTCTTAAAGATGGAAATCAACTCAATGATTTTGGGCCAATCATTTCCTCTTAGCCCTAGGAAGAAAGCAAAGATAAACCACTTCCCAAATAATTGTCAATATTTGTCCATATAGCTGCCAAGGTCCATGAGGGAATGTGCCCTCATCCCTCAAAAATGTATAGGAATATTAGCTCATCTGAAAGGCAGTAGATTTGCTGTCATCTAATCTACAACCAATAGCTCTAAATATCACCTGCGTAGATTTTCAGTATGTTATGCTTGGTTAATTTTCTCATATGAATCTTGCTGTAGCATTCATGAATGTTATTTTTCTGTATTTAATTAACACAAACTCAAGAAAGAATGACACCAACTCCACCTAAATACCTTCTTTCAATTCTCCACATGCTTGTACTTCCATTTTTCTTCCTTGCCCCTGCCTGTCTTAGGGATTTAGTAGCTAAATATTAGCAGCTACCATATTTCTTAAGTTGGCACCAAGAAATAGTTTATAAACCACAATTCCTCAAAGGCTCCCTATTAATAATTAGCCAGATTTTTTCCATTATAATGAATCTCATTACAAAGTGAAGCAGCCTTCAAAAGCTTCCAACAAAATTCAGGTCGCTTCGCTTCTCCAACTTATTTGACTTTGCCAACGTTATTTGACTTGCCAAACTCGATTTACTAGCAGAATATAAACATGGAAATCACATTTCAAAAGATTAGCAAACATCAATGGGCTGGCAAATGATTGCAGCCCAACAGCATGTGATGGAATATGGTCACTTCTTGCATACAATCATCTTTGGTCATTTGTTACAGTTTGCTAATTAACAATGTAGTGGGAAAAGACCAAAAACAGATGATGGAAAACGAAGAAAGTGATTATACATTGTCACCGGGAACGATGGCATCGTCAGCTAACCAGTACAGAAACTGATATGTAATTTTCCACATCAAGGCACAGGGACAATGTGCTTGTTAATTAAAAGTCATACTTTATACTTTACACTTCTGGAAGCAGGGAGATATGTAATAAATAACCGCTACTCACTGGTTTATTTCAGTCCTCAACAAAAGCAGGTCCTGCTTCAATGCTTTGGCACTAAGTAAAGGATATGCTGACCTTCAGGGTGGGGAAGAAATTTTTAAACATAAGGGTTTGTGGTAAGTTGATCCGGACCATAAAGAATATAGAAACATAACTGGATCTCTGCTAAATGAAATGGTTATTCTCAAGGGGCAATTTATCTTCCCAAATCAAAATGCATGTCTCAAAAGGGTATTCACACCATCAATTTTTATCATCCTGATTTTGGTATGGGTTGGATGCTTCATGAACAGGATAATTTCTCCTACTTTCTCATATACATTATTGCCATTTTGATAAAATAGAAGTTTGGAAATACTTTAAAATTAAACCTCAAATTAAAGGTTTCACTTCTACACATGGTTTTTTTTACTTTTTTTATAATGTCGGTGCTTCCAATTGAAGGGAAAATTGATTTTCAATCAGTTGAATAAATCACAGTGTTGCTCCCATTTTTTCAGCTGCTATTGTTTTCCATAAATTGAAAGCTCTTACATAAGGTAAAATGAAGAACACAACAAGCACGCAGTATTAAACAAGAAGGATTTAACACCATTAATAGCTGTGATACAGCATTTTAAAATGTCATGAGTGACAATTTTTCAGTCACCAGGATTGTAATGTATTTTACACATTTGTACTGTAGCTTTCTGAAATCGCACTTTCTACAGGATACAATTTTTAACTGGAATTAAAGGAAGTTTTAAATCCTCTTCATATTTCAGACCTTTTCTTGTCAAGGTGTCACAGATCTTGGCGACAAAATTGCTTGCTGTCTCATGAATGGGACTGCTTCAGACAATAGTAAAGGTCTGTGATGGCTAATCTTTTTGCCATCACATGCCAGAAGCGGAGAGGGGGTCGGCAAACAGGCCATTTCTGGCCTCCGGAGGGACTCTGGGGGAGTGGGGAAGGCCATTTTCACCCTCCCCAGGTTCCTAGAAAGGCTCTGGAGCCTGGGGAGAGAGAAAAATGGGCCTTCCGGTCCCACTGGAAGTTGACAAATGGGCCATTTCTGGCATCTGGAGGGCCTCCAGGAGGGTGGAGAAGGCCGTTTTCACCCTCCCCAGACTCCTAGAAAGGCTCTAGAAACTGGGGAGAGAGAAAAACGGGCCTTCCCCACCACCCCCTGAGGCCCTCCAGAGGCAGGAAACAGCCTGTTTGCCTACTTCTGGTGGGCCCAGAAGGTCTGAAAATCAGCTGGCCGGTACGTGCATGCACGCCAGAGCTGAGCTTGCGTGCCCGCCGATATGCCTATGCATGCCACCTGTGCATGCCATAGGCTCGCCATCATGGGTATAGGTAGTCTTTGACTGACAACAGTTAATTTAGTGACCGTTCAAAGTTACAATGGCACTGAAAAAATGACTTATGACATTTTTCACACTTAGGACCATTGCAGCATCCCTATGGTGAAATGATCAAAATTCAGATGCTTGATAACTGGTTCGTATTTATGACCGTTGTTATGTCCCAAAGTCATATGATCACCTTTTACGACTTTCTGACCGGGAAAGCCAGATTCACTTAACAACCCTGTTACTAACTTATCAACTACAGTGATTCACTTAATAATTTGGCAAGAAAGCTCGCAAAGTGGGGCAAACACACCTAACAAATATTTCACTTAACAGAAATGTTGGGCTCAATTGTGGTCGTAAGTCGAGGACTACCTGTAAAGATAAAGGTAAAGGTTCCCCTGTACATGCATGCTAGTCATTTCCAGCTCTAGGGGGTGGCGCTCATCTCCGTTTCAAAGCCGAAGAGCCAGCGCTGTCCAAAGCTGTCTCCGTGGTCATGTGGCTGGCATGACTAAATGGCAAAGGCGCATGGAACGCTGTTACCTTCCCACCAAAGGTGGTCCCTATTTTTCTACTTGCATTTTTTACATGCTTTTAAACTGGGACAGTTCTGACAAGTACCGGGAGCTCACCCCATTACACAGCACTAGGGATTCGAACTGCTGAACTGACAACCTTTTGATCAACAAGCTCAGCATCTTAGCCACTTAGCAACCACGTCCCTTACTTACAGGACTACCTGTAACTAACAATAATTCACAATGACTGGCTATCCAAATAGATAGTCTAAAACATTTGCACAATGAAGAGTGGATTTTCTCCCACTGTGAAATGTATACATGAATTTTATTAGCCTTATCTTTTGATATAAGCCTTCCTACAGAATCTATATTCCCTACAACATCCTATAAAATGAAGCTAGGTTCTTTTTTTCTTCCAAAATTACTATAACTGGGCTATTCTTCCAATCCTTTAGGGTCAATTTATATTAGCATTATTGACAACACCAGACCCAGAAATGATCCAAGACATGCAGACACATTTGTTTAAGTTCAATTTAATCTTAATCAAGTCTAAAACACACTAGTAAGTGGTTGAGTCAAGCAAAAGAAAAATACATGCAAGAGAATGATAGAATGCTTCAGTCTTTTGAAGAATTTTTTTTTTTTTTTTGCCTGTCAAGTTCACTGGAATTTAGATGAAAAGAATACATCTTGAGAAGAAATAAAGTAGTGGCATTTTGGACATTATTCCCATTTTTTAAAAAAACCTGATATTTGAAAAGAGATTTGGTTACCAGAAATTGATATGTGGTGGGTCAAATCACCATGGCTAACTCGCCACAGCACAACTCCCCGCAGGACAAGAGTTGCACTAATACCAAAGAAATGATGGAACAGAATCATTAAGAAAGGATGCAAAAGGGAGAACAAAATTAAATGTGAATGACAAAAATTCAAATCATTTCCTAATTATTTTAAATAATTTAAATTGTTGAATTGTCCCACAGTGTGTTGTCTCATGGCAAGTTGGCCGTAGCAAGTTGCCCCACTGCAAATTGGCCACAATGAGCCGCAATGAATTGGCTTTGGCGAGTTGACTGTGCCAAGTTGTCTCATTCCAGGGGTGTCAAACTCACGGCCCATGGGCTAAATTTGGCCCGCGGGGTGGTTAGATCTGGTCCACGGGGTCACCCCAGAAACAGCAAAGGACTGGCCCACGGTGCTTCTGCCAGGGAAAATGGAGCTTGGGAGGACCACGTGTTTTCAGCCGCGACAGTTTCCTGCAGCTCTCTACCAGTGAAAACAGAGCTCAAGGGGTGCGTTAGCCCCATTTTCAGCTAAGACAGCCTCCTGCAGCCCTCTGCCCCCCCCCCCCGAGCTCCATTTTCGCTAGCAGAGGGCTGCAGAGGCTGTTGCAGCCAAAAAAGGAGCCTCGGTGAGTGATGTCGAATTTGCCATGCCTACCCTTATCCATGCTCCTCAAGGTCAAACAGAACCCTGATACAGCCCTCAATGAAACCAAGCTTCTCACCCCTGTCCCATTCCATCCAGATGCACCCAGTACATATGCAAAAGAATGACAACTGGTTCTTGAAAGCAGAAGCTATGAAACTGCAGGTGTAAGAAAACAGTTTTCATACAGTAATCCCATGAATGGAAACAACTGCAGTACACCACAAACCTACAAAGGCAGCTAGATGAAAGAAGTGAAAACAAACAACAAAATAAAAAAGTGGTTACATACCTTCACAATCTTTCCTTTAGCCAATTTCTACTGTGTTGCTAGAAGACTGTTCTCCTTAACCATAAGAAGCCCTTTGAACCTAATAGAGGAAAAGAACATAGGTTTAAGCCCAATGAAGTACAAAGGACTGCTCCAAATCCAGGTTAAAATTAAGTCCATAGTTGCTGTTGATTGCTTCATATATGGGTGTCTCTCCTCTTTTGTAGTACTGCTACATAGGTCTATAAAGATTATTTCCAGGCACTTGCTCATTCCTTCACTTGCACGTGAGACTGGTCTGTGTTATTGTACACCTCAGAATGACTCGGTGGCCAAGTCTCTCAGCTGCTCAGACAAAGGCATGAATTGGCTCTCTACCTGCCACTTTCCGCCAGGCTGGAAAATACCATTTTGCTGCCAGTTTTACAGAGGCTGTAGGCCTTTTCATGAAGACTCAGATCAGGCACGGAAGACTAATTATAAGACTCCTCTGAAGAAAGAAAACTCTGTGGGGGAACAGGGGAGAGGGGGAAAACAAGAAAGCAGAGGAGGTGGAGGAAACTAGCTATTCTCCCATTCTCTTCACAACTTCACATATATAATTATTATTAATTAGGCTCATAAAATTGAATGGATGTATAATGCCACTGTCAACAGGGCTAAAGGGTATATATAAAATTCCATCTTTCCTTCCTCTCTATTTTTTAAATACCTCACCAACTGAGAACTCAAAAGCTTACATGAACTGAAAAGCTTACACCATTTTTTCTCCCTCAAGGATTGATCCTTGTGAAAGTATTGATCAGCTGGGGACTTTGCGTGTTTTCTTCCAAGAACTACGATAGTTTTATCTTCCCCCCCTAAAAAAATTGTATGGAAAACACCTTCTATTCACAGTTCTCAATACATCAAGTTGTAGTGACCCAGAAAATTACTTTCAGATTATATGAAATACAGCGCAAGACATGGATCCCTAGTGGCCACTAAACCAAAAAAGATCCCGAAGTTTTATCTGTGAAATAATGGAACATTGCAAATGTTCGTGTTCCAGGTTAATACGTATTGCAAAACAACTTTTCTCAATCATGTGCCTTCCAGATGGAGAAGAGGGGAGGGGAGATGAAGGGGAAGGCAAAAGGGAAGGGGAGGGGAAAGAAAAGGGGAAAGGGAAAGGGAAAGAAGGGGAAGGGAAAGGGGGAAGGGGAAGGAGAAGGAGAAGGGGGAAGGGGAAAGGGACCCCTTCAGATTTTACTCCACTAGTCATTACAGTGCTCATCCCTGTTTCAAGGGACCATGTGATCTGTCCCCGTCTACACACACGCACAAACACAGCCAGCCGAGGGTTAAGAAAGTACTTGGCACGCACACAGGTCGTTATCTCAAACTTGGCAACAATATAAGCACCGTCTGCCAAGAGCTTTACTGCAACAGATAACATAAAATTACATACGCATTGCAAATAGTCCAGCAAAACAATATCCCTTCGGCAGCTTCAGACGTTGTTCAAGTGACTAGCCAGAGTTAGTTTTTGTTCGTCACCGAGTTTTACCAGCCACCACCCTCTCTTATATAGTCTCTGGGGTGTGGTCCAGTGACTCAGTTCTAATCCCTAGCACGCCTCCTTAACTGCTGCAACCGTTTATCACGCCTTCGTTGGCGTGCATCCAGGAACGACGGCTCTCCTTCTTCGCTCTCATCAGAGACACCTGGCTAATCTCCTCTCCCTCGGCCGGCACCTGAGGCAGTGCCAGAAGGGAGGGGCCTGGAGAGGGAGGCCTGGCTGACTCCTCTCCCTCATGTTCAGAGCTTTCTTCCTCCGATGAGATAGGCTCAGAGGGCGGGGCCACAACACCATGAGCCAGCACTGTCCGAAGATTTTTCCATAGTCATTTGGCCAACATGACATTGAGGAACGTTAAGATGCTTGGGTTCCTGGGCAGGAAAACCAACAGCCCGAGTTTGAGACCCGAGTGTCGTGCGACACATCTTCGCCTACCTCCTGATCACCTAGTAGTTCGAAAGCTCGCAAATGCGAGTAGAAAAATAAGTATCACTTCACAAAGTGAACTTATACATACATTTTATTAAGAATTGAATTATAATAGTTCAAATTAATACAGGTAGTTTTTGACTTACAATCAAGGGAGCTGCTGGTTGGAGATACAAATTGCATGTACTTTTATAGAAATAATGCATTGCTGTTGCCAGAAAACTCAGATGTAGTGGATTTTGATTGTTATTATGTAACAAAATAAGGACATAAAAATACAGTAAATTTATCAAACACCATTTGACAGGAAAATGGTACAATCAGTTGAAAGTTACATATAAGTTCCAGAAAATTAGCAAACAGATACATTTGTGTACAGATAATCCTCGATTTACTACAGTTCATTTAGGGACTACTCAAAGTTACAATAGCATTGAAAAAAGTGACATAGGACTTTTTTCACACTTACAACTGTTGCAGCATCCTTTGGGTCACAGATCAAAATTCAGATGCTTGGCAACTGGATGATATTGACGATGATTGCAGTGTCCTGAGATCATATGATCATTTTTGCAACCTTCTGACAAACAAATGGGGAAGCCAGATTCATTAACAACCATTTTATTAACTTAACCGCTGCAGTGATTCACTTTACAGTTGTGACAAGATAGGTCACAAAATGGGGCAAAACTCACTTAACAACTGTCTCACCTAGCAACATAAATTTTGGGCTCAGTTGTAGTCATAAGTCAAGGGCTACCTGAATATGGGAAGAATGTTGCTAAAAATGAAGGACTGGATAAACAAATTTTATGAATTGTGACTGCTGGAAGAAAAGTATTTGTTATTATGTGACCTGTTGCACACAATAGTTGTTCAAAAACTGAAAATGGCATTGTGTAAGAGCAGTCAATTGCACACTTTATAGTGTGGAAGCGAGCATTGTGTACACGAGAGGAAATAGTTGAATTCAGCAGGAATGCAGAAGTGCATGTAGCAGAATGAAAAGGGAGAGCGATTCTGCTTAGGAGTGAATGGATGCTGAATCAATGTTGATTGAATAGCAAAGTGAGTCATTACAAAAGTAGCATGTTAAGTGGTCTAGTCATTTAGAGTGAACTGAAGAAAACTTAATTGCAAAACAAGAATATTCAGTTGATGGTTTGGAAAAAAAGGGGGGGGCAAAACTGGAAAAAGTTGTAGCTGAATGGCAGTGACTCCTCTAAAAGAGACCGTTGAGAACAAAAGAACAAAAAGCAATGTATAAACTGTTTATACAGGCATGGTGAACGACAAGGATGTTTTACAAGGACAGAAAGGTGTTTATAACAGCTGAAGCAGGAACCATGGCAACTCACCTCAAGCAGAAACATAGAGTGAATAAAGTTTCATAAAGTAAAAGAAGGATCAATAATTCAGTGACTTGAAGGAGAACAGGAGAAAAACTATCTTAAGATTTAAATCCTTGATCTATAATCTATGTCTATAGACCAGTGGTCTCCAACCCTTCCAGCTTGATGAACCAGTAGAGGTGGCGGAAGGGGGGGGAGACCCGATGGTTTCTTGTGCGCTCGCTTTCACAAATGCACAAACCCGTGGGCCGGATCCATGCTTAGAACTGGCCTGCAGGGCTGCCCTGGAAACAGCGAAGGACCGGCCAGCGGTGCCTCTGCCAGCAAAAACAAAGCTCAGGGTGGCCACACGTGGTCCCCTGAGCTCCATTTTTGCTGGCAGAGGGCTGCAGGAGTTCGTCGTGGTTGAAAACAGGGCACGCACTCCCCCAAGCTCGGTTTTCACTGGCAAAGGGCTAGCAAAACAAACTAAAATCAAAACAAAACAAAAGGAGAAATGTTTTCCCTTTTGCATTTGAGCATCCAAGAAGGGAGAAAGGGAAAAAGGAAAAACAAAGAAAAAGATGGGAAGAGAGCAAGGAAGGAAAAAGGAAAGAGGGGAAGGAAGAAGAAAGAAAAAAGGAGAAGGAAGAGGGAAGGAAGACAATGGATCCTCCCATCCCCACCCGGGCCACCATAGGTAATATGATAATAATTTTAAAAAACAAGTTGGTTTCTAACTGACTTTTTTTTTTTAATTTTCTTCACACCCATGTTCAGATACAAATCATCAATATATACCGTATTTCTCCGAAAATAAGACTGTGTCTTGTATTAATTTTTGCTCCAAGGGACATATTAAGGGCTTATTTTATAATTCAATAAATCCGTCATGTGTTCTAACCAGGGTGGATTTGATTTAAATCGAATTGATTTAAATCACAATTTAAATCATGATTTAAATCACTAGTAAAAAGGCTTGATTTAAATCAAATCGATTTAAATCATAATTTTTAAAGAGCAACTGTCATCTCTGCTACTCCTTTGACCCACTGTTGACTTACAGATAGTCCCAGTGTTGCAGAATATACAGCCTCATGCTACATAACTAAGCTCCCTTTCATGCTGAATAAACTAAATTATTTATGTATCCTAAATAGAAAACTATCTTAAGATAGATTTTTACCCCAAAAGTTTTTTATTAAAATAAATTTGATAAAAATCAAAAAAATCCGATTTAAATCAAAAAAATCCGATTTAAATCAAAAAAATCTGTTTTTTTTTATTTAAAAAAAAATCATTGATTTTTATCCACCCTGGTTGTAACGGATGTACTAAATGTGTCCGTCTGGCTGATGATTGTAACTGGGGCTTATTTTGGGGGTAGGACTTATATTATGAGAATCCTGAAAAATCATGCTATGGTTTATTTTCCAGTTAGGTCTTATTTGGGGGGAAATATGTAGTTTGCATAATGAGCCCTCACTCATGATATACACATTAAAATGCTCAATACTTATTTCTGGAAAAAAGATGACATGACACTGAAAATTTACTTATAAGTTTGTATCTCAATTTTTCTTCAGTGCAACAAAATCCTAATCATTAAAAGTTGATTAAGTTAAAATCAATAACCACAGAACAACCATATCTAAAAGACTTCAAGAATTTTTATGGGCTTCTTGTGAAATAAATCAATGCACTTTAAAGAATTTATTTTTCTCCTTAAGCTTTGTTTTTATTAGCTAAGATAAAGTAGGGCACAAAACAAATCATAAC